GGGTGGGGCCAGTGCCGGCGGACCTGTGGAGAGCTGAAAATAAGGTGAGTTTTAACTTATTGTGAGGCACTAAAGGAGGCGGGGGCAAGCCACCTAAATGGTGGGTTTTCACTATAGGGTCAGGAATACATGTATGTGTTCCTGACCCTATAGTGTTCCTTTAAATCACTTTGTTTAAGCAGTCCTAGCCACACCCTGGCTGTGACTCACACTGTCTCACTGTCTCCATCAAAAAAAGTTTTAATTTTCAAAAGATCTTAGCCTAAAGTGTGTTTTCTTTAGGCATTCTTACCTCCTGCACTGTTAGTTGAACATTAATCGCACACTGGTGGCTGCTACGAACTTTAGCAGGCAATTAACAGAGCAGGACATACAATTGCTAAATGAAACACACTACACTATTAGGGAAGTTTAGAAATTAGACCTATTTTAATGTAAAGTTTGCAAAAAAGTGGTGTGAGTCACAGCCAAGGGAGGTGCAGGTAGGGCTGCATAAACAAACCAATTTAAATCCTAAATAACTGTGATAATTGAGCAGTAAGTCTGCAGAAGGTTGGTCTGTACATCAAAGCCACTTGATTAAGATAAAGTTATTCTGGAATTTAGAGTGTCCATTTAAGCATTACAATCTAGTCCCTAAAACCCTATTTTGCAATCGTTTCATATACCCTGCTTATTTTGCATGTGCAGCTCTATACAGCCGTGCAATCATTAATTGAGTGGGGAATTCCATTTCGATATAGGAAGGGTGGTCTGTTATAATGTATATTATTGTATATTTATAGCAGACATTAATGGGTTAAAATACTATATGCTCTATTTATCTAACCTTGAAATCCACATATAAATGTCCACATGTAAATCTAATATTTCCCAGGGGTAATAATACATATGTCTTGCTATAAATGTTTTATAATAAAAAATGTCAATTATAATTACAAATAATTCAAAATAGTCAATAGTGAGAACAGTATAGTGAGATTACAAATATTTATTTATTAAAAATGTATTATTATTTATCTTAAAGAATTACTCCAACCTGATGTAGCATTATAACTGGTATTGTATGGGTTTTTTTTGGTTTAGCATGCTCTATAGGACATTGCTAATTAGGTTACCCTCAATATATATTAAAATGAGGCTATAACTTACATGAAATCCAGTGCCAGGCAATGCTCCCGGCACTGCTCTCCCCTCCCCATCTGATGTCATGGCCTCCCTCGTGTGGTCCAATGAAATGCTTTTCATAGGGAAGCATGTAATTGGACAGTTTCACTGGCTCAGAGCACATGCATGCATTCTGAGCCAGTGCAGGGAGGTGTGCTTAGAATTGACATTAGGCAGCCCTAAGTTACGTGTACCGGGGCTGTAACTAGCCCCGAAAAAGTGAAGCTATCTCTGTTTGTACAATGTTTCAAACAGAAACACTGCACATAAAGACTCCTACCTCCCTGACCAGCTCTAAAAGCAGACGTGGCTATGATGGCTGGAGTAACGCTTCAATTAAATAAAATTCAAAGTCCTGACAAGGGCTTATGCATAGCATCTGTCATGTGGGGGGTACAAAGTTTTTGGGCGACAACCACCATATAAGCAGAAATATTATCACTATATGCCATTTTATTTAAAAATGTAGGCTTGGAGAATACTCGATACGGGATATGAGCATAATGTATCTAATATTGGTGTTAAGGAGGTGCTCCCTCTCCAAATGTTTTACCATTTTGAATGTAGGGTGAAGGGTTGCTAAATCCACATGTCCACTGTATTCCTGTGTATATTATAAGGTCTCAAGTCACAAAATTGTAAAACCATCTCTTGTCAGTGTAACCTATTTCATTGCTAGTAAATGCAAAGGGACAAGATATCAGTGGGAGCAGATATGCACTTGCTGTACCTGTAGCTGAGTAATAAAACAATTACTGTAAGTTAAACATCTGTGAGTATGCCTGTATACACATCATTCATAGAAACATAGAATGTGATGGCAGATAAGAACCATTCAGCCCATCTAGTCTGCCCAATTTTCTAAATACTTCCATTAGTCCCTGGCATTATCCTATAGCTAGGATAACCTTATGCCTACCCACTGCATGCTTAAAGGACTGCTATAGGAACCCAGACCACTTCAGCTTAATAAGGTGGTCTGGGTGCCAGGTCCATCTAGGATTAACCCTGAAACTGCTATGTTTACATATAGGTTAATCCAGCCTCTAGTGGCTGTCTTGTTGACAGCCGCTATAGGCGCTTCCGTGCTTCTCACTGTGATTTTCACAGTGAGGAGACGCCAACGTCCATAGGAAAGCATTGAGAATGCTTTCCTATGGACTGGCTGAATGCGCGCGTGGCTCTTGCCGTGCATGCACATTCAGCTGATGACGGGGAAAAGAGGCTGAGAGTCCCCACCGCCGAGGGAGCCCAGCGGTGAAGAAAAGGTGAGTGTTTATCCCCTTCCTCACCCTAGAGCCCGGCGGGAGGGGGACCCTAAGGGTGGGGGGGACCTAGGGACCCTATAGTGCCAGGAAAAAGAGTATGTTTTCCTGGCACTATAGTTGTCCTTTAACCCCTTAAGGACACATGACATGTGTGACATGTCATGATTCCCTTTTATTCCAGAAGTTTGGTCCTTAAGGGGTTAAACTCCTTTACTGTGTTAACCTCTACCACTTTAGCTGGAAGGCTATTCCATGCATCCAATACCCTCTTAGTAAAGTAATACTTACTGATATTATTTTTTTTATTCATGTGGTACACTGAGGCTTTATACATTCAACATGTAGAACTTTAACCTACAACTTCTCTTGATACAAAATCTCGAAACGTCTTCTCTCGTCAGTAATACAACTTGAGTCTGTTGAAGAGCAATTTCCTTTAAGTATATGATTTATTGCATGACCATTGTACATTATAATGCTATTACCTGATGGTCTGTGGCTAGACATAACAATACAGATATATGGATGGTATAATAACTCTGAGGTGCGGAATAATGTGATGCTCCTTTTATCTGTAATTTCGAACAGCATACAATTCTACAAGTGGAGCAGTCACTATAGAAACTGATGGAAAGTTGTGTTGATTATCCAATATTAATATATTTTCCCCAGAAATGCTCTCTCTATAAAAGCCATACTTATGTACTAGAATGTAAACTCTGAAACTAATTTTACCTCTGTGTGTTTCACTATTGAGAAGATTTTTTTACTCTTTGTAAGAACAGAAGAATGAAGAAATACAATAATGTTTTCATACAGTTACAAGTCATGCCCGTGAGTCGAATGAATCTTACAGCCCATCAGAGCCTCCCCCGATACCTTGGTGGGCCATTTAAAAAATAGCAGCTTATTATGGCCAGAATTTCATATCTGGGTACAGTCTCACTATATCCGGACAGTTGGCAACACTTGCACTTGTATTTTACTGCCAGATTTATTTTGAACAGTGGTTTCCATACATGTGTTAAATCAGTCTGATAGCTCAGAAGGCCTGTAGGAGTGGTTCACTCAAAAACTCATTTTGATACAATACCTTGTTTCCAATAAGGAAATGCCACAATATATTTGATGGAAAACACGGCTTTCTTTGTTAAGCTGTACTCATTTTCGTTTTTACGGTTTCTTTTTTCTTACTTTATTAATGGAAAAAACACCTTTGTGCCGAAGGATTAATGTAATCAAACATCTCAGCATGACAATGAAATAAAGGCACATCATACAGAAGCAGGTGGCATCCATTTGTATGCGTCGTCGTAGTTTCTTTTCTCTTTTATGAACAACTTAGATCTACAAATTGAAACCCTGCATGGAAAAATCACCTTTAAAAAGTACCTTTCTCTGGGGATGAACTTGAAATGTAATTTATTTAAGGCAGTTCCTTTTCTTTTTAAATGAATTTTATATTAGACAAGTCACTCAACTTCTGGAACAGAAGACACAAACATGTCCAGAAAACAGATGTATGAAATAGTACAACATTGATTAATTTATTTTATGCCCAAATTAAATAAATTGGATTTACATAATTGGTCTTCTTGTCTAACTACGTTTGTGTTGCCTTGGCACAGTACTGTACCAACTTTTTAATCTTTGAAGAACCCAAGTCATTCCTTAACTAATCCAATAGTGGTCTCAGGCTGAGTATAATAGAACTGTCAATTAATACATTTAGTCATCCTTAAGGAAACATTATATGTGATTCGCCGGTTATTAATTTTTGTCTGCTTATAGCCTAATAATTGATATTAAACAACTTTCCGGTTCGTTTAGACTACTGTATGTTTTCCTTAAAAAATGTAGCATCATATCATTTATAGAGCCCTGCAGCAACTAAATTAGTAGCTCATCCTGCATTGCAGCCTGTTAGATAAATTATTATATTTTGATAACATGGTCCTTTTTAATTATACGGGATTAAATATTGTTAAAGAGTTACTCTTAGCTTAAAGTTGATCCTAATTTTTTAATGCATGAAACAATGCTAAATTAAAAAAGAACAGCCTTTTATTGATATGATATTGATATAGAATTTAGTAACGTTTCTGTAGTAAAGGGAAACCAGTATTGGCCTGGTTATTCCTCAGAGTTCTATTATTTTCAATGGAAGATAAGCATATCCCGTAAAATCCTTCTGATTATCTCATGAGGTGATATACAATTAACTGATGGGCTAAGCTTATAGATACTAATGTAGGTGGATATTTGTATTTAATGCACACACTAAACATAAGCATGCCACAGAAGTACTTGGATGAAGCACAATGTTGTGGACTGTGCATGCTTATATTAAACAAGGTATGAGGAACTGGATAAAAAAAATCCAGATATAGCAAAAAATACATCAGAAAGAAATAGTACTCACAAATGCAGCACAGCCTCTCACTGCTGCTCAAACAGTGACAATCCACAGTAGAAATCAAACAAATAGAGGCTGTGCAAAATGTTGCTATGTGCACAAACCAAGTGCTACCTAAATTTATTGGAGGACAAAATAATAAACAAACGTTTCAGGTACAACCCTTTTTCAATGCACCATGTCCCTCATGTCCACCAGGTCCACCATGAGGGACATGGTGCATTGAAAAAGGGTTGTACACGAAACATTTGTTTATTATTCTGTCCTCCAATAAATTTAGGTAGCACTTTGTTTGTGCTGATAGCACCATTTTGCGCAGCCTCTATTTGTTTGATTTGTACTGGGCATGCTTATATTAAAAAAGGACTCTTCCTATTGTGTCACACAGACCGCGGTGGTGTTACTCCTATCCATAAGGTACATTAAAGAAAGGCCCAGGAACATGCAGGTCATCCAAGATAGACTTTATTGCATAAAAAAGCAGCAATATTTTAGCTTTACGTTAGTGCCTTTATTAAGCCAAATTGTTTCCACTTTGTTATCCAATAAAGCTTGCCTTGGATGACCCATGTCATCCATGTCATGGATCCTTCTTTATTATACAAGTACTTTGACGGTATATAGGAAGCATTATGTTTCTGATGTGTTCTCTCATAGTGAAGGTGGTGGGCTTAAAGCTACAGAGGGTTTTGTAAATTGCTGCAGTTATACGCAAGTTTGTGCTGGAAGACGAGGGGATGGGGAGCCCTTTGCACCAAATTCAACCCAATAATATTCCAGAATATTGTGGTTTGAAAGCTTTGTCTGCTGTGTTAGCCTCATGGATTGTTTTATTTAGTCATGAAGCCCTATGAAATAAACTCTTCTTGATTTGTGAAAATCGATGTTTACCCGAATATATACTAATGAGAGTTGAATGCTCACATAACTGCCTTTTGGAAAGGTCAGCAGCTATAGTTTCTTTCTTTAGTTACTTTTATGATGGCGGTTTCTAAAATTCATAATGTAATAACAAATATGTACTTTATTCAGCGTGGGAGGCCAGCTGCACACACTATAGCACTGGATTCAAAGTAATTGATAAAGAAAGAATGAAAAGGGAAAAATACACCACCACAATGGAAATGCCATATGTTTTAGCAATGTTAGGCTTTAATTTGGCGTCTTTAAGTCCGCAACCACAAAACAAGAAGGTATATTTCTGGAGTCTGTTAATCATTAACGATACAAAATGGCAAATGATTGACGCCGGTTTTGGGTGAATGTTTGAAGAAGAGGACAAGGTGCAGAGCAATACTACAACATTTTTGGTGATTTCATGACCTCTTGATGTGTAGTGTGAACATATTCCATATTGTCCCCTGACTTGCTATAGTGTTGCACTTAACTTGATTATGATGATGATATAATGCAAGTGGGGATATACTACAGACTTGACTTTGATTGTGCAATGGAGGGCCTGTTTGAAGGTGGCAGCCTGGAGATATGAATGAGAGCTGGACTGATCAGAAAATAACTATTTTTATTATCATTTATGTAGCGCCGGCATATTCTGCCACACTTTACAATCATAAAATGGAAAATGGACAAGAATGCCTGGCTCAAACATGCTTACAATCTATGAGGAAGGGGTAAAGACACACAAGAGAAATAACAGCCAGTGTTAATTTTGTCTCTAAATTTCAATTTAGTTTTAAACATTGTATGTTGACTAAAAAGCCATTTTAGTCATCTAAATTGTTTTAGTTTTAGTCTAGTTTTAGTCGACTAAATCTCAAAAAGTTAAGTCGACTAAAATTTGACTAAAATTGTTAATCAACATAAGTAACACTGATAACAGCATGTCAGAGGTGGAGGAGTGGTTGATAGATAAGATTCCTGTGTCGAAATAAGCTAGTAAAAGTATTAAGTTTAAAAACCACACAGTGTTAGGCAAGAGAGTGAGCTGGACTGTGGAAACGAAGGAACTTACCAGGGCAGTGAAATGAGAGAGGAAGATTTCCTAAAGAGTTGTGTTTTTAGTGATTTCTTAAAGAACTGGTGCCTAGGCGAGAGGCATGGGGTAATGAATTCCCAAAAAAGAGGCCTCCTTTGAAATACCCTATAGATGAGAGTTGGCAAAGCGGGAATGAGCAGATGACAGGACAATGTAATTTGCAGAACGAAGGGAACAATAAGGGAGTATATTTGTTGAATAAAGAGGAAATGTAGTGAGGAGTGGAATAAGTGAGGGAAGTGTAGGTTGGTGTTAGCAGTTTATATCGGATCCTGTAGGTTTATGTAGACCAGTCTTTCACCAATAAATTCCAAATTCTCTGTAGAAAACTCAGAGATTTTCCTTGTATGATAGGTATGACATAACAGTAATATCATGTCTTTCTGACAAACTCAGATAGATAAATGTATTTGCACAGCATGAAGGCTACTCCTAATTCTTAGCCTTTTTTGTAACCTATCTACTTGTCATGTTTTTTTTTTAGATAATCACTTTTGAGAAAATGTCTATTTATTTTCATACAAAACAGAAAATACTTTATATTTTAAGACACGTTTTACTTGAAATGTAGAAGGAAAAGTGAAATAGGTCACTGGTGGAATTTTTCCCAGAACACTTTTTGTGCATAAGTAATGGAAAAATACACACACACACACACACACACACACACACATACATACATACATACATACATACATACATACATACATACATACAGGGCCATGCTTAGGCCATTAGGCGCCCTGTGCGAATAATCTTCACAATCACACACAGGCAGACAGTCACACACCCTTACTGTCACACACACGGGCAGACAGTCACACACAGGCAGACAGTCACACACCAACACACACACAGGCAGACAGTGACACACAGGCAGACAGTCACACACACACAGGCAGACAGTCACACACACGCATACAGTGACACACAGGCTGACAGTCACACACACACTCACACACAGGCAGACAGTGACACACAGGCAAACAGTCACACACACATACACACATAGTTACCTCTTTCTATTATGGGATGGTAGGGCGGAGTGGAGGCAGTGCAGCTCCTCGAGATTAGTTATTGGGGAAGCAGGGACTCTTTCCTGCTTCCCCCTTCCTGTGCAGCAGTTACCAACCATCGGCTAATGGGCTCTTTTAGCTCCGCCTCCGCTGACATTGTAACCCCGCCTCCGCATCTTGGTAAGCCCGCCCCATCACTCAGTAAGCTCTGCCCCCCCCCCGCTGCCATGGTATTTTTATATTAGTCCCGAGTGGAGAATAATGAAATCCTCCACCCGGGTACCTGCTTTAGCTCCCCTGCACTCCTGTTACCCGACCATGTGCGAGCTGCTCCATGGCGCTTTGTGTGGCTGCACAGCTCGCACACCCCTAAGGCCAGCCCTGCATACATACATATATAAATATATATAAATAATCAAAGAGCCCCTCTGTGCTGTTATTATACTTTGGTGAAAACAAGATGGTCAGATGGTCGATTATGTATTCAGTAGAATATACTTGTGGTAAAAGTAGCCAGAATATGTCAGGTGAACTCAACAAGACCTATCTGTCCTGCAGAGTTCAATAATACCCATTTTGAGGTACCAAAGAATATAAATATTGGTGAAATTTCTTGACCATAAGGATGACCCAAGACTACCAAGTAAGGCCCAGGGGTTAGACAGGAACCATTAATTTGCTTTGCCATATTTACTATCCCTATGTAAAAAATTAAAGAGAGGCCACAAACTAGAAAGCTGCTTATGACCCTGTGGGATCTTGTCACCATTGTGATTGTGACAATTTGTTCACATGATCACCATAGTTCTCACTGTCTAAAGAGACTAAACTTGAGACAGTTGTGAGTTGCTACCTGCATCGTAATTGCCTTGCACTGACAGTGGGAATGATCGAGGTATTAAATCCTTTAAAGCAGATGTGTGATACATGTTGGAACACTTTGGCAAATGTTTTATTGTAGTCAGTTCAGTTTTTTTATGATACACTTGATACTATCTGTTTTTATTTCTTTGTCTTTGTGATTTACTTTAGTCATATATTTTGCAATCATGATCCATAGCATAAGTAATTACCAATTTATCCTTTTAGAAGCAAGATATACAATTACTTTTTTCCGTTCGTCATATGAAATTACAGATGATATTCAGCGGGTTCTGCATGCCATCATTTGATAATATCTACTGATAGGCCAGGGCTAACACGTATATGATGTAATACTGAGGTTAAAAGAGGATACTCCTCACTCATAAAGCAGCATGATGAAGTACTTCCAGGGTGTGAGGTGGTCTTCAAATATTTTGTTTTGATTTTCTTAGTTTTTCTTAATCAATCCCATAAAAAAAATAATCTGCCTTATTTTACTATACTTGTTAAATGAAGAATGCCTATCTCTGAATATTGTTTTTTTTACCCTGAGGTGGAGCTCTAAAACAAGCTAACCAATCACATTGTTCTCTTAAATATGAAAACCCCCTGCTTTACAGCTGCAATTGCACATTTTAAGCCAATAAATGATCTAGCAGGACATATACAGATAGATTCTATTTCATATTTGTAGATAACTAGATTTAAAGGGGTTATCTAAACACCATAACCACTACATCAACTGTAGTAGTTATGGTGCCAGGAGGAGTCCCTGGTGCTGTCCCACAGTAATTTTACCTGCATTAAAATAGAAACAGGGTTCTGTTGTCCCTTTCAATAAGAAAATGTACCATATTCTCTTACTGGCTTATAGAATGGAATATCTCAAAAGTAAGTTTGGTCTCTGGATTCTCTTCCCCTTATACTAGAATATCTCTTCATTCTTCTGTCTTGTGGAAGTATTGTCTTCTTTCCTTCTGCTACTTTGGAGCGGAAAAGTTAGTCTTGGAGTACTTGTGAGCTTCTCCTCAACCAATAGGCTCTTCTTGCTGACACTGTTAGGCTCTTCTTTCCATGTCCTGAACCGTTAGGCTCTTAACTAGTAGCTTAGTGATATCCATGGACACCTCAATCAAAAATTCTGAGGCTAGGTTTAAATCTTTCAGTGTTTCCAAAAAAGATTATCTGTTTGTCCCCTTGGCAATGTCTTCACTCAATACTTTGGTCCAAACTCACAAGGCTCTTGATTGGGAGGTCAAATCTTTTGCTGGATGCATAGCTTCTCCTAAAGAAGATATGCCCTAATTAAATTTGCATCCATACGTTTTTCCATGGCATCCATTAATTCTGCTACACTATCAATTGG